CTCTCTCTCTCTCTCTCTCTCTCTCTCTCTCTCTCTCTCTCTCTCTCTCTCTCTCTCTCTCTCTCTCATGTATATATATAAAACCTACGGCATATGCGACGAATCTTAAACATAAGAAGAACCGATAAGAACCCGAAGAGTTTTGGGTCGGCACTGATTCCATGATTTTCGTATCGGTTAATATATATATACGTGTATGTTTTACGTTGTGTGTGTGTGTGTGTGTGTGTGTGTGTATTCGCCTGTGTGTGCGCGTCGTGTGTTACATGTACGAGTGTACTATACGATGTAAATGCGTGTGTGTATGTGGTGTGTGAGTGATAAGTAGTAAATAGTAGTAGTAGTAGTAGTAGTAGTAGTAGTAGTAGTAATAGTAGTAGTAGTAGTAGTAGTAGTACGTAGTTTCATTTTAGAAATTCTTTTTTCTTCTTTTTTTTTTTCTTCGTTTTCGTTTTCTTTTCTTTTTTTTTAAAGACGAGTTGCGTGAGACGAGCACCCTGTATACGTGATTGACAAATTTGCGTTAGGAGAGACCGCGTCGGTCCTTTCCACGGAACACCTACTACACGTCGTAAGAAACGATCCTAAAACGACCATCCTATTATAACGCGATATTTAAACGCGGTGATCACTTTGTTCGACGAAAACCGAAAAATCCTAAAAAATCCGGACATTCGACGGATCTATCTTTTGTTGTATCTTGCGTTTGTTGGAAATAAAAAAATTGGCAAAGTTCGTTCTGTTCTGTTCGCTCTTCTTTAAAAAAAGGCGATACAACGAATTCAACCGATTCAACACACTGGACTCGTGTTTTCCCTAGAGAATCTGAAATAGGTACTTTCTTTCGTGTTCTATGGGTCGAATCGCGGTAATAGTTAACTTTTTTCTTTTTTTTTTTTCTTTTTTTTTTTAACAGTCGGTCGGCTATACAATCGCCATGCCGCTTCGTCAGGAACTAAGAGTTTTCTTTCTTTCTTTTTTTTTTCTTCTTCTTCTTCATCTTCTTCTTCTTCTTCTTTGGTTTACCGTTACTGGAAAGTCGCCCGCCTTGAACGTTTTCCCATCACGTGATTTATCAAACTATTTAAGAGTTAGCGTGTCTTCGGAACGATAAAACCTGGTCGAGAGGCTCTTAAAGGCTCCCGCTTTAATTTCTACTTGTCCCGGATGATCGGATGATAAAACTCGTTACTAGGACGACGACAACGACGACGACGACGACCGACGACGTCGTCGTCGAGAAGAAACGCGTATCGAAAGATTTTTCTTTTTTTTTTTTTTGCTCCGTTATTCCGATACGGGTTCTCGTATATTTGGCAGTAGGGATCGAGAGTGAAGAACGGAAAGAATACGTATAAAATATAATGTAAGATGTAGGAAAATAGAAAGAAGAGGATGAGAAAGATCGACGCGTGTTCCGTTCTTTCTTTTTTTGGTTTTTTTTCCGTTTTTTTCGTTTAGTAAAAGGATTGATCGTATCCGAGCATCCGAGAGTTTTCGTTTTGTTCGAAGCGTGAAATCCTACTCGCGTTTTTTTTATCTTTTTTTTTTTTTTTTTTCTTATCTTTTTGCCTTTCTCTCGGACTCGCGTTCAGCGCTGGACAATCCAATGTGTGTGTGTGTTTTCATTAGCATATCATCAGCCTCTTCGTCCTCGCCGCGTGACTGCCGGCGAAGTCAATCTACTGACTTCTAATTGTTATCCTCTAATTAATTTATCTAACTAGTATACTAGGTTATTATAGTGGAGAGCGTTGTAACGGTGATTCAAACTCATCACTTCTGATCGTCGAGCGTTCAATAAGCCCGTGTTCTTGTACGACATCTGAAATTAGAAATGTTCGATTCCGTTTAGATTCGTTCGAAACTCGAAGCGAGAAGAGAAGCGTACGCGTTCGATTCATTTTTCAACATTTTTTTTTTTTGGAAACATTGAGATATCGATTTTTATTTTTATTATTATTTATTATTATTTTTTTTTTTTTTTTACGTTATGTATCTATTTTGAAATACGCGAGGATTATTTTTCTCTCTTCTTTTTTTTTTTTTTTTCTCGAAACTTACTCTGTGGGTTATGATGTAGGGTGCGTATCGTCCAGTTTCTCTAAGCTAGGACTTTGGTTAGTATGGCCGGCTTGCGTCCTTGGGCCTCTTTAACTGGACTTTTAAACGCTTCATCCCTATCTGGAAGCCATTCATCGCTTGAATTGCTGTCTGCGCACTCGCTGGATTGTCGAACGACACGAAACCTGAAAGAATCGAGAACGATAAATTTTTCTAATCAACGAAACGATCGAATTAATCAATTTACGACGACTTTTAATCCTCTCCTGCTTCGCACGATCTCGATATATATTGCTCGGACGAAACATATCTTTACATTGAAACTTAGTAACAAAGATATCCAATCCTTGGAAGAAAACTTGGCGTCATCGGCCTACTCGAACATCCACTAGACAGCCACTGAATTTTGAGACTCTCTTCTCCACTTGAATTCGGATTCAAGAAATTGGTCGCGATATTCCTCGACTTACGATGAAAACGGGAAGTTGAATATCGACACCTGGGGGCATCGGGATTATCGCGAAGGGGCTGATGGTGGTAACCAGTGATTTAGATTAGCCGATTCGCCGCGAGGAATAAAAAGTTTTCTACGAAGGGACGAGGGGGGGGGGGTGGTGGGTAGGGAGGCCTTGGTACTATCAAAGTTTTATCGAGAATAAGAGAAAGGGAGGGAGGGAGGGAGAGAAGGTGCACGATAACGAAGCTCTTAACAACAGAAGCGCCACTGAAAGGTCATCAGGGCCCTTCCAGTTTAAGCCAATTTTGACCATTAGCCCCGATCCAATTTTAGTTTTGCCATCATGGCGGCGGCCTATTGCCTGACCAATCGCGGCTCCTCCTCATCGCTCAACCTCGGCCACCGCTTTTACCCCAGAGTTCGTAAATTACTTTTACTAGGTGACTGGAGAGGAGGTTTTATCCCCCTGCAAAAGAATTCCTCTTTCCCACAATCCTCCTCTCCCTTCTTCGTCGAATTTTTCAAAGCAAATAAAATTGAGTCGTAATAATTTATGCGATCACTTTTACCTACGAAAATTCAAATTTTGACAGAAATTGCGTATTAATTGCGAGAATCTTCGACACAAAATTTATTTTCACGTGTATTATACATATCCATTCGTAAGCTACGCATAATTTTGGTCAGACAAGAAGCGTATTCCAATTGGACAAAGGGTAAAATGATCATTTCATGTTTGCTTGGTTGCAAAGAAAAATATGTATCCCCCTGTGCGCTTTATTTGGCTGTTTCGATAATTCTTTTTCGTTATAGGATACACTTTTTCGCGGAGGAGGAAAATTTGAAACGACAGAGTCGATTTGAAAGCGTAAGGCCCTCCCCTCCCCCTCTGGGCGAATGATACGCGCGCACTTTGGACATCCCTCTTTTCATCAACGTTTCGATAATTACACGAACGGGGCGCATAACGAAACCGGAGGAATATAAAGAACGGCATCCTTTCAACGGATGAAATTCATCATCCGGCTGTATCTGTCGCGATAATCGGCACCGATAGGCAGAAAAATATTAATCGCGCTAGTTACGAATGAATAGGCTAAGAAGAATATCAGGGAATATATCCGTCCAATTATCCGCACTCATATTTGCGCATTCATCCCGGCTGCACGATTAATCAAAGCTGTCGTTGCTGCAGGTTTTTCAGGTCTTCCTTTTGTCCCGATCCCTTCCGATTTAACCAAAAGGACCACCTAGTTTCATTCGAGTCGAGTCACAATCGGACGAGTATTCACTTTTAATAAAAAAAAAAAAAAGAAAAGAAAGAAAAAGCAGTTGCAGTTCATCAAGTTGTAAAATCGAGAATAATCTCTCGTGCTCGACGAGTCGGATATTTTACGTATGAAAGGATACAATTTTCAAATTCTATAAAAGATTTCGATAATCCATTTTTTCTTTTCTTTTCTTTTTTTTTTTACCTTTACGAATAGATTCGAGATTTTTCGATAATCGAAAGTTTTGCACACGAAATAATTTTATATCGAAAAAGACATTTCTTTATTATTCGAGAATCTGAAAGATCTCTCCAGCTTCTTCCCAGGTCTTAGCCAAGTCCTACCTGGTCGTGAACGGCCATTCGTTTTTTCCGTTCCAAGGGGCCACTCTTCCAAGCGTTAAATGACACACTTACCGAAGCATTTGCTCTGGTTGGTGGCCCGATCGATGAAAACCTTGGAGGATATGACGTTGCCAAAGGGGATGAACATCTGCATGAGCTCACCGTCACCAAACTCTTGGGGCAGGTGGTAGATGAACAGGTTGCAGCCTTCGGGTCCTGAGATAGAGCATCCTACCATATAAATCAGAGCACATCTAAACATCTAAACTTGAAGTATAATACTCAAGTTAGAATGTTAGTTTCTTGGATGAGTTTCGTTCTTCGCAATATAATGATTCCGACGCGATAGGAGAGCCACCTCGCGTCACAGCGAGTATGCACACATTCTTCTCTCCTCAGATTCTTCGACGATTCTCGGTGTCTGGATGCCTTTTTCTTTTTTTTTTTTTTTTTTTTTTTTCTTTTTTTGATGAATGAAGATGAAGATTCGTGACCGTCTTTGACAATGACAATCTGATTTCTCTCTCGTCGCGCGGAAATTTCAAGGATGATTTCTTTTTTTCTTTTTTTTTTTTTCTTTAATGAATCGCGTCACTTTTGGGATTCGAGAAGAGGGATACGAAGAAGATGAGAGGGAGATGACGTTCTGGGACGTTCCGAGAGGGAGGAGAGAGACGAGAAGATGAAGAATGAAAGAAAAATGGATCGAATGAGAGAGAAAGAGAGAGGGGGAGCCGACGAAGAGAGTAATGATTAGAATGTCACGACGATGTTTGTTACGAAAATGAGTTTCTTCCCGGTTCAAGTAAAAAAACGTTGAGTATTTATACTTTCAAATATACAAACACACAACACTGGGACTCACAACACAATGACGAGCGAGGTGAAGGATATTTTAAAATGAATGCAAATGGATATTAAGGAGTGACAGTGATGATACTGATTACGATGGTGCGACACTTTACATGAGAATGCCAGACATGTTGTTGATCCGTCGTCATAATAATGCCACCTAACTTTCGTTTCGTTAGAACTAACTTTTTTTTTTTCGCTTTCAATGGACGGATTGCGTGAAAACTCGCCAAATTATTCAATATCTTACGTTTTTCCAACCGATTCGTTTCTTCCTTCCTTTATCTCTCACCTTCCGCCAAACTTTTCTCCAAACTTCCCCTCCAATTAATCGTTAATCGTTTCGTTTCTTTAATTTTCATCAAACACGATGCGCAATTCCTCCTCCTCCTTCGATATATTTAATCCCGCAACTTCGACAACGAGAAAAAAAAAACTTCTTCTTTTAAGCCACGAGCGATATAAAGACAACCGGCGATTAATTCGAGGGGGGAGGGAGGAAGGATTGAACGAAAGAGGCAAAGCGAAGAAAGGAAGGAAGGGGGGTCGGAATAACGAGAGTCCAAATACGGATTTAGCTAATTTCACTGAACTTTATAACTCCGACGTCAATTAGCGGCGATTATGACCGTGGAAACTTCCTCTCTCTCTCTCTCTCTCTCTTCCTCCTTCTCTCTCCGCTCTTCTCTCACTGCTAACGGACGCATTTAAGTAATGAGATGGCTGCCACTCAACTTTTAGGATGCTACTCATCGCGACTCGTTCGTTTCCCTAGAGCCGAGATTCCGCTCTTCTGTCACTTGCACGCCTTTTACGAACGTTACCCTGTCGAATTACCGCAAGAGAGAGAGAGAGAGAGAGAGAGAGAGAGAGTAGTAGTTAGTTCC